AGTAGGACTACTACTACTACTACTACAGGTACTACTACTACTACTACTACTACTACTGCTACTACTACTACTGCTGGCACTGCTCCTATTGCTACTGCTGCTGCTACTACAGCGTGCCGGGATTATAGTACAATTATGTGGGCAAGATTGCCACGCAATCTTGTTGTTGGTCTGGCCGACTGACCAACAGTTGTCCTAGTAGTATAGTCGTCGTGGTAGTATTAATAAAAAATGCCTGTAGCAGTTCTTGTTGCTGTCGTCAAAAATGGTCCCGACCATCTATTCGAACAGCGACTTCAACAAAAACCTGGAAGCGAGTAGCACAAGAAGAAAAGTCAAACAAGCGCGGATGGGGATGACAGTCGCCATCAGGGTCAAAGCACGAAACACCTTGCACAGCCGCAAAGTCATTTTGTCGCAAAAGTGGTCCGTAGCTAGATGAGCCGACGACTCGACTTTCGTTAGACGACTGTTCCGTCCCTATCAACAGGTTTCTTAGTTACAGCTTCTCAAATGATATCGTTACATGTTGACCCATGCCGGCCCCGGCAAGGATGTGCACAGTATTTGGTGCTTACGTTTTAAAGAGTACCCAGTCCACTGACTGCGGTATAATCCAACCAAGCACATCTTCAGATATGTGCACAGTTGAGGGGGCAATCTCTCAAGCATCGTGAACGTGCGAATGAGACAAAGAAAGCCTGTTTTCGTGAGCACAAGCCTAGCAACAGCAAAACAGAATGAAACGAAGAGCTCAGAGGTACAATCCAGGTAGAAAGCTGGTGGCGCCAAAGGCGAAGAGCCTGAAAGACATGATGCAGCAGTGAGCAAGCCAACTGCCGCAGCTGCAGCCGAAACACCCAAGAAGGAAAGGGCTACAATGGCTACGACCCGCACGCAGAATCCTGCCTGGACAAGTCCGAGCTTGCACTTCCGATTTCCTTTTTCTGGAGCTCCATCTCTTGGCGCAGCGTCTCTCCTTACCAGCAAACACGCTTTCTGTCTTAAATCGCTTGCATGGCCATGGCACGCTACGAGTATCACAACGGCTGACAGGCCGCAGGTCCTGGGCAGAACTTGCCAAACCAAAGGCAGGGTTGGTCCCGGCTGCTTCGAACGAGCATTACTCAAACTGCGCACTGGTTTTCGGAGTTCTCCTGCAAAGTGAAAGTCTGTGTTCGAGCTGTCTAGCTCGCCGGGGTGCCTGTGAACTGGGGTTCACTGAGACGCCTACTCCAACGAAACCGTTCCTAGAGAGACGCAAAAAATGACTGCCACCAGACAAGACCACGGCAGAAACCCGATTGCTGATGGCAGCGTGCATGCAACAGACAGGATTTTCCGCAAATTCCCGCCAGGATGCGCAAGTGGCTAAATTCGCTGAGGACCTGCTGGGCCTGCTGCGATGCTGCACCTGCTTATGCACCCAGACAATCCCCAATATAGGGCTGATGACCGTATGACATTGCGGCGACACCAGCCGGTAGCAGTAGCATACAAGAGCACATCGTACGACATTGAATGCAGAACTGCATCTTAATAGCAGGAAGATTAAGACCTAGGCTATGTCGCAGAGGCATGTGTGATGACGGGGTCTACACTATCCTCGTTCTTACTTGTGATGACTGGGTATGCTACGTTGCGGCATGACGTCGTGTCACATGTTCCGGTATGGCAGCATTTGATTTGCGCGTCGTCAGCCTCGGTCTACAAGGCATCATGCAGTTCCGCAGCACAGTGCGGAAGGCCAATTGCTTTGCGTGCGCCATGCGATCTTGTAGTGAAGCCCGAAAAATACGACAAGCCAGTGCCCACCTCAACCATTCGAGACCTTAAGACTCAAACCCCAAAATCCCGCAGCTGCACCGCATTCCAGACGCATCTCTCGCTGAAGTGCACCAAGTCGAGCCTGGCCAGTTTGTGAGCAGTGGCCTGTTTAGCATCTGTTTGGGACTGCAGTGACGGGCTTGAAGGTACTAGAGTGTAATTCTCGTAGATGTGAAAGACCATCCACGAGGTTTCGTTGCCGAGGGTTAATGTATGCTAGAAGAACATGCTGCCCTTGGCTGCAGGTGGATAGATTTCTCCATGCACGACTTGAACTTTTCATCCCTTTCGTGAAACCGAAAATGCAAAACCGAGGTCCCAGGTCCGTCTAAAAAGAGTGCTGGTCCCACAGGGACCTCTCAGGGCCTCTGATCAAGGAGCTTAATGGCTTATTGTACAAGTACATGGGTTGCACATGATTGTGCTCACGGCTCAAGTCTCGCAACGGCGCATGAAAAATGCTGCTGGCATGAGGGCCATGGCGGGAAACACCTCGCAGAATCAGTAGACGGCCCGCAGGACTCCAAAGCAGTGCTAATTGTTGGCATGTGTTCTTTTTTGCATTCTCGTTCTACTATCCTTGGTTTGAGACAACTGCCAGTGCTACTGGCGTTGCTGCTTCTACTACTTGTGCTACAACAACAATAACAACAGCAATTAGTAGTAGTACTACTGCTACGACGACGACGAAGACGGCGAGGACGACTACTACTGCTGCCGCTGCCACCACTGCTACTCAGCACCAGCACGACCACCACCAACACCAACAACGACAACAC